GGTACGGGCTGGAGTTCAGGGTGTGTATAGACGTTTGTGGGACTGTGATTTTGACACTCCTGCTGGTGAGAGGGCAGGCAAAACGGCTCTGTATGGGTTCCGGTAGCCATTCAGTAGCAAGAGGCCGCTTTTCAGTGAGCAATGACAGGCTTGGGGCAAGTGTGGGCGTGTGGCGGGAGTTTATACAGAGGCAAACCCTGACATCGTTCATGTCTTGCTCTGTCAGCCTGAGTTCGTTTATATGAGGGTAATATTGTACAGGTGTGTGAAAGTTGTGATGCTGTGAAAAGCCATAAATAAAGACTTAATAGTCATGGTGACTATTAAGCAGGTATTCTTTATTGCAGCGCTGGACAAACAGGAGATCCCTCTGCCTAATGTGTGTGTAGTTATATATACATATTCACGGTATTTCCAAGAAATTATTAATATATTCATTGTTTTCTGAGAACTCATTATTATAGATAGTCAGGGGTCTCTGGTGGTCATTTACTTCATCATGATAGTATTCATCGGAGTGTCCTTTTGGTGAACTTTAGTCAATTAACTCCTCGTCCTTGTTAAGAGGCGCCAAGGCTGGACTAGGCCGGTTCTGCGTTACCTCAGTGGCATTTGGGAGTCCTGGGGCATCCTACCCTTAGAGATAAGCTCCCCTTATAGAATCCCTTTGTTTAACACAAATCTGTTAAATCTCCTACGTGTCAGCTAAGAACTACAGTCCCAGCTGGAATTACCGCCCCAGCTAAAACCACAGCTTAAATTGTAATAATCTTCGGTAAATTTTAAGTAATACTTTGTCCCTGTAAACTGTGTTGTGATTCTCTTGGTATAAACCAGCGACTTCCATGAAGCAGTTGATTTAGTCTGATGTTCTAGTATTGTAGCTGGAGCTGCTCTTCAAAGGCCTAAAATCTAAAATTCTCGGCTATTTTTTATGTGGTGAAATAGACAAAAGCCACCTCCATGCATGGTGAAATTAGACACATCACATATAACTCCCAGCTCAGTGGATTTCAAAGCATTTACAAAACAGTGAGTCATTTTTTGTGCTGCCAAAAATACAGCAGTGGAAGCGCCGTACTCTGGGAGAGCACGCTGCTGTGCAGGGAGTCACGCTGTTGGAGCTGCAGGGAAAATGCAGGCAGAAAGTCATCACCTACACTCGAATTTGGTCAGGTACCAAGCGACTGCTCTGTGATCTGAAAAAGTACCTGGATTCTTACTGAAATTGTATGGTGAGGCTCTCTGTTTAATATCCCAGCATCCCTGCTACTAGGACATAGCATTGAGCAGTTCTGATTCAGGAGGAAACCAGCTACCTGCTGTGAATCCATATAAACACTTTCTCCTTTGATCTCTTCCATGCAAACATGTAAAGACTTGTACAGGCTGAATATTTTGAATGCCCATGATTAAGTCAGTAAACTTAACTGGAAGACAAGCATGGGTTCTGAGCATGTTTCTTCTAAAAGCCCTTGCAGCAAATGCTCGTAACTTCAATTAGCTGCATGTAAAAAATACACTTGCATTGGTATAAAAAGTTTATCTCATAAATGCTGATCTGGCAATGATCTGGTTGCAGGATAGAAGCTTCTAGTTTAAGAGCTCAACAGAGAAGATTTTTGTAGGAACATTTTCAGGAGAGATTTCAAGGCAGGTTAACAACACAAACACATAGTTGCAGTCTGCTGTTTAAATTGCAGCTGCCTCACATGAGAACAGTTACTCTGTTATGCTCTGAAACAGAAATTTCAGAGATACACAATTTATAGTGCCATGCGGTCACTCTTGTATTGGAACGATTAGCTGCTTTAACTTCTCTGTAATGTACAAATTTGGAAGATTATAACGATGATGTAAATATTATTGTTCCCGCTCGGTCCCCATGTGTTGCCTGGTCTAATCGAGAGGTGGTGTCCCTGCCCATGACAGGGAGGTTGGACAAGATGATCTCCAAGGTCCCTTCCCACCTAGGCCATTCTGTGATTCTAGGTAGCATTAGCAAAACCAATAGATGAATCACAAGTATCTTTCCAGGTGAGCAGAAATAGCTCTTTGCCTCCTGATGGGATTTTCACCTGCATTTCAGAAAACGGAGCATCATCAGTTCTATTTTTCAGGACTTCAGATCAGGAGCTTCCTGACTGTGGCATTACATCACATATATTCCTTACCTGCAGGTGCCGCTGGTGTTTGTGATCCTGTTCTCTGCATGGTAAAAGATCTGTGCTGGTAAAAAGACCATTTTAATGTAAGGATAGCTATTGCTATACTTACAGTGAAGACAGATTTGGTACTTTTTAATACACAGGAAACACTCCATTGCAAGGCAAGATTAGCATTATAATACATGTGAAATAAAAATCTGTATGAGTATTATAAAAATGTCTTCTTGTTGTATATATTCCACGATATTGGCAAAATATGTTCATCATAAATTAAGGCAGTAGTTTAGGGCAGTGGCTGCCATCTGGCTCTTAAACCATTGAATGATACCACCTTAATTCATAAATTCATTCATTTAACCTAAAGTAGTCTAGTCTTACAGTGAATATGCCCAATATATTGCTTATGTACAATGTTTTTAAGGCTGATTCTCATGATCTTCCCTATACAAGACAGCACTTAATGCATCAATTTTATTTTTAAATCTTTAAAGTACAGCATCTGTGGAAATGAAATTGAGATTATCTGAGTGCATAAGCTTTCTGTAAACTCTAGTTGAAAGCAGAAAACATAAGATTTTTATTGTCTTAACCTTCTTCATACACATTAATGTCTTGATAAACAAAATCATCTGTCTTTAATAAAAAAGTCAAGTAATGTATTTGTTTATACAGCAGCCAAACTACATTTGTGTGTATTTTACATCTTCTGGTCTGAATAAACTAAGCAATGTACCAAAGTTATGTAGCTGAAAATATTACTACAGTAGCTTTGAAATCTGTGTTCATCTGCTAGTGATAGAAAATAATGTATGAATATCTCTTCAGTTAGTGTAAATAAAGATCTTGATTGTTAACTGTCTCTTTCAGTGAAGTGGCAGGTTTATAACATTTTAAAATACTAATTTTACAGGAACTTGCAGCAACTTTACCTCAGACTCTGAAGCATTTGATGTAGAACAAACAAAAAAAACCCCTGAACATCATACATACAGAAGAACATGACGGGGCAGCAACTGTTGCTTTAAGGTTTTTTTAGGGCTTGTGATTCTGGTTCATCTGCAGAAGAGTTGGGGGGGTTGGGGGAGCAGCCAGTCAGCACGCAAGTACTGCACACCAAATTAAAATTGTAAGGAGTAGCTGAACTGAGAAACACATTATCTTAAGTGCAAGATTCACCCAGTACTGCATGTATTGCTAGCTCTGTTGTTTTTCTGAAAAAAACATCTCATATTCAGTTATCTTAAGAAGTTCAGTTTTGGACCCAGATAGAAAACAAGCTGTGAATACTGGCCTTTGAAAATGCATGTTCTGAGTGTGACTGCCTAAGGGACAACATGGCAATATACTGTGCAGCGGACTTTACACAGTAGGTTCTTGATTTGTTTTTCAGGGAATGATGCAATTGGATAGGGATGCTTGAGAAAGAATTAGGCAAGAAAACTTTAGTAAAACAAGTATTTGCTCTATGAACAGCGCCTTGGGCAATGTCAGAGAGAGATGTCCAAACTCCACTGAACAATGCAGCTGTACCCTCACAGTAGCAGATGTTTACTGGCTCTACAAAGAAACCTGTTATAATCTCACTCAGAAACTTTGTGTGTGAGTGTGTATATATATATTTATATATATAAATACAGATTTTAGCCATGTTTTGGTAGGACCTTCAAGTTTTTTGTAAACCTGTAATTCTAGATGATCTCTAAGGTCCCTTCCAGCCTATGCCATTCTATGATTCTGTGATAATTTGTGACATGATTACTTAAGCTTCCCAGTTTCTTCACTACGGAAGCACACTATGTACTAGTGGCATTTTAAGTTTCTCACTTGTTTGTCTAATTTTGCTGTTCTGTTCAGTGACACAGATAACCTGTTCGCGCTGAAAAATAAGACAGTACACCTTCCTTACCTTGTGTTACTAATAGCATAACAAAATTTACAATAGGATATTCAGCCAATTCTAATCCTTAGTACTGCAGAGGATGTGTATTGCCAAACAGACCCTTTTCTCCTATAGTTCTCACTCTGGGTATTCCTTAGCATTCCAGAAGCTGTTAGATAATTTAAGCAAAAAATAGGAAATTTAAACCAAATTACTATAAATTTAGAACTCAACACAGCAGGACAAAGAAGAAAAGAAATTGCTCTTTCTCTTCTTTTCACATTACACCCCAACATCTTGAAAGTCATATTAGGATAAGGTACAGTTATTACTGAGTGAAACATTCTACTTTGCTTAGTAAATGCAGCTGCGATGTAATTTTTAACTTCCGGATATTACACAGCAGATTATTTTGGTGCATAGTGTCTGCCAAATTAACTAACTCTTCAACAGGATTATGTATAAGCTTTGGTATTTTCTAATATTTTGAGGCAGTTTTTAAAGCTTCAAGGCAACATTTCTTTTTATTTAGAGACATAATAGTGAATATTAAGAAATTCTACATTTAAGAAATGACAAATTATTACCACTTACAAGTGAATAATTATTATTAAATTATTATTAAACCTGTAATTAATACAGTACAATTCTTGTTTTAAAAGCAACACATTTCCTCAATTTCATTTAAAAGAAATTGGCAGGGCTTGAAAGAGCTGTGATGATGGCTTTCCCTGTTCTTTACAGGATAGTTCAGCAAACCCAAGAGCATATGTATGACTCAAGCTGGGTAAATCGCTCTGGCTATATTTTTTGATCCTTCCATGAAAGTATAATAAAAGCCAAAGAACCATGGTTTTCCCTGTGATAGACTTTAATATGCACATTGTAAGTACAGACTGAGCAGCAGGCTTATGTATGTTTCAGCCTAGTAATAATTAAGCTGTCATATTTGATCTTCAGTGATGGCCTCCATTCTTCTTTGGAGGAAACAGTGTATATTCAATGCCGAGAGCTACGACAAAAGCTGCAAATCCCCACTTGAGTCCCCTAGTAAAGACTTCTGTTAAGGTGACAGGTTTTGCAAAGCCACCCATGTATCTCCAGGCTTCATTACTAGAAGAAAAATCAAACCAAAAGAATAAAACAAGATCAGTGGAGCCACCGTGATAAACAATAATAGGAATATCTTCGTTCAGAAAAAAAAGATGAAGGCATTTCAACTAGAGACACATTTAGGCTGTGACATCTCTATCATTTAAGTAACAAGAGTTGCCACAAGTTCTTGATATTGACTCTAAGGATAAATTGAGATACAGGTAACACCAGCAAACTACATCATTCTAGTAACAGAAACACCTCCCTAAACTTACGTAATTTTGTCTTATGCTTCTACTGAGTTTGAAACAAAATCAGAACCCACTAGCACATCTGCAGGATAGAATAACTACAAAAGCTAGGCAGTTAATGTAGCATTAATAAATCTTAAAAGGGAAAGTTTTCCATATATAGAAAACTCATCCTAGCACTTTAAACTATATGAGAGTCAGAAAAGCCTACTAAAACTGATTAAAAATAAATAAATAAATAGCTGGGGAAAAAAAAGTATTTAGCTAAAAAGCTACAGAGTATTTACAGACTTCACATTCTTTTGCCTTACTGTTTTCAATCTACATTGTCGCTGCTACAGCTGACTACAAATATTTGTGTAGCGCAACTAGTGTCATACATACAAGAGACAAACTGCGTCCATCCCTAAGGACTCAAAAGTTCTTAAGGAAAGGAAAACACATTTGCACAGAAACAAGCAATTAGATCAGAACCATCATTTCTAATGTGTGTTTGCTACAGAGGTGGAAAACTGCTACCCGGTTACAGGGAACTTAAGAGGGGAGCCCTACAGAGGGTTACTTTTTTGAGACTTTTAGTACAAGTTATTAATAATGCAATATTCCAGATTAGTGAAGCAAATAACTTGAGACTTTATTAAGGAAGATTGGCATGATACTCGTACTTGTCCTATGGAACTGAAATAATAGCTTACATAATATTTGCAAAGTTCAGGACAAATCATCTCATGCTTTTAGTTTAACTTTGTTCCTCATTTCAACTCTTCACGTAATTGGCTCAATCCCTTTCTTTTACCTGTAAAATACTGTATTTTTATTTATCTAGGAGGGGCAACAAATACTACACAAGCTCTTTTCCAGTTTGCTGTTTTCATGCACTTCCTGAACAATGTGCTTGGAAGTATATGCACTGAAAATCAGATTAATTTATACTCAGTTTATGATATTAAACTGTGTCCGTATTTTAATGGGAAAAAGCCTATTGCTTGCACTCCACAGAAGTAGAGGCAACATAAGTCCGACACAGACCTGGACAGTTTATTGGTAACTGATGGTCTTAAGGACTTGTATCTCATATGATTCTTCTAATCATCAAAACTGTTTTACTCTGTGCTTACAGCTTTGAACTGTTTCAAAGGAAGGAAAACAGTGCTGTCAATCCCAACCCCCTCCAGACATTATAGCATGTAACAATTTAACAGATTACCTCTTTGCTCTTAAATTTTTCTTTTAGTGGTTACTACCATACAGTACAAGACATTTAGCATTTTCATTCCCCAAGATTAAAGAGTATTTGAACAAAGTATTGCATAATTTAGGAGGTGAGAAAATATTAAGCTCTGTTTTAACAGCTGCCGAAATGATCCAGAATTGCTCTAGCTAAAAAGGAAGAGGTATTAATGGTAGATTAGGACAACCTCAGAGGTAAAAATCTGATCTTCCGTTATGTCATTCATGATATCTTACACTATGTCATTCACTGCTTAGCAAAATAAAATGCAAATAAGTAAAATTCCACACTGTTCACTAGTATATTTAATCTTTTCAGATAAAGGCCTCCTATTGTATATGAAAAATACTACTCCTACTCAGAATGTTAATGTAAATTCCATCAACTTTAGTAAGATCTGATTTTGCTGAAAAGACTCATGTGTGCAAGACCTAATATTACTTAAGGGTTCTGATGGATAAGGTGTTGGTCATTGTGCCTGATCTGTATCATCATGAAACATCACAAAGCGCAAAGGTGCCTCGCAAAATGCAGAGAGTAGTCAAGGTGATGCAAGACATGATCTCCATGCAAAAAAAAAGTAAATAAAGACTTAACTGAAATTCTGACTAATATATTCTAGATACATTTTCATTATTTTTACTGAAGAAAGAATAATCTGCAATGATAAGGTTCAGCTGATGCTACAATATGGCATCTCAAGATTATTTTTGAGGCTCTCACACTTACCGGGCCCACGGATCCCTAAGACCCCGTTTAGCTAGCCTTTCCTGGACCTTTTCTAGTGGAGTACCCTCTATTTTCCATTGCCTGTAGTCAGGGAGTTCCATTTTGCCATGGCCATGTTCACTTCCATGCCCCATAGCTACAAGAAAAGACATGAATTTTTTATTTCTCAGAGACTATCAGCTTATTTTCACACCCTTGCAAAGAAAAACCTCAGGAAAACTGAGGTTACAGAAAGTATTCCAAAGTGCAAAACCATGCATATGAAGCATCTTCTGCATTATACACAGTACACCATAGAACAAAGAACTAAGAGACTTTATGCTTAATTTGAGAAGCTAGTGATTAAGCACAATAAGGCAAACTGTGCAGAGTTAAGTGCTACTTTGTTGTAAGTCAGCACCGCCATTACATTAATGAGGCAGCTATATAAATTTTCTGTGCGAGAAAACAGAGTCAGAAAAAACTGTTTCCAGTACCTATAAATGCCCTTTAGCAACACCAGGGCACATCAACTTGCAGGCTTTCTAGAGTACATCAAAAAGGTCAGAGTTCAGTTTGGAAATTTCTAATTTAGGTACGGCAGAGCTATGATCACCAAGTTCTGAAGAAAAACATAAGAAAAGCAAAGACTTTGCTCCTTAACCCCTTTTAAGTTGCCACTGCGGTGTTAAATATGCACGGGATACATGAATGGAGGACATGTACCTTACTAGTTATTACACGAGTCTGGGAAATACATGCTTTATTTTGATATACCTTTGAGAGAACTACGAAAATATCAAGGTTCTCATTAAAAACAGTGATCAACGAAAATGGGAAGGTGAAAATTTTCAGTGAGATCACAAAGGACTGTAAGAAAATGACAACGGCTTTGAAGTCTATTTTTACATAATACCCAAGACTTAAGAGTCAGAATTTCCCATTTTAACACATATATGGTAGCAAAGACCAGATTATTTAAAGGCCTTTAATTTTAGACTTGACTGGAACGCTGCAGTGCCAAGAATGCAGCTTCTAACTCTTGAAGACTCCAAGCCATGGTGGCAAGCAACGAGGATTCTCTTGCCGAAGGAAACCTGAAGAAGAGCTCTAATGCTGTCATTGCCCGAAAAACTCCCGCCAGATTAAATGCCAGTCTACACCCTTGCCATATAAACTCAAGACCTCCCTCCAACAAGACAGGGGTTGATGCGCACGCTGGCGCCCACACGCCGCGGCCCGCACTGCAACCCCAGCCGGGCACTCTCTGCCA